CTAAAACCTATTTTCTTTTTTCTACTTAATTTTATTACTAAGATATAGCTAGTATGCTGTGAAAAATAGACTGGAAAATTGAAAACAAAAGAACATATGTTAGACAGGATGGGAGACAGATCTAGGTGTGAATCCGCTACAACCTTGAGGCTTACTTTCCTCATGTGTAAAATAGAAATAATTCCTCCCTAATGTGAGGATTGAGAAGATGTGTGTGGAGCACACTGTGCCTGCCACTTACCAGATACTCAAAAAATGTTAGTTCTTCCCCAGGTGCTGCCACCGACTCCCTGGGAGCTTTGGAGCAAGTCACTTAAATTTTCTGAGTCTTGGTTTTTGCATCTGTGAAGTGGAGCTATTAGCTGTCCTCTCTCTCACAAAGTTGTGGAGAGGATTCAGTTAGATAATGGGTGTGAAAGCACTTTGTTAACTCCAGACAACTGTTTTTATTAATACTATTCACAAGTCAGTTTGAGTAATTTTTGTATCCTTCTATGAATGGTGGAAGAGTTGACACCAAGGGTTTAAATATATGTCAGTTTTGTGTATGTTTTTCTGAAGTATCAAGTGAATAGCCATTTACTTTGTCACTTTATTACCTTCTTAAAATCTGACTGTGGCTGTAAAACCATTCTGGGGAGGTATTTATAAGCCCAGACCTAAGGTGTGTGTCAAGGCTGTTGTAAGTTCAGCCTGAAAAGAGACTTGCTTGTGCAGGCTGATTTTTGGCTCTCTAGTGCCATCTGTAGGAAAGAAGGAGAAAACTTTCCTGAAGTTTGCATTTGAGTGTGGGTGCTCAGGTGTTTAAAGATTGTTTTGTCATTGCCAGGTTGTCTCGGCTGCTCGCATCTTACTTAGGAATCCTGGGAATCAAGCTGCTTATGAACATTTTGAGACTATGAAGAACCAGTGGATTGATAATGTTGAAAAAATGACAGGTACAGTTTTATGCAAAGCTCTTATGGTCTAGTCCACAAGGAATGAGCTCTGAGAAACTTGAGCAGGACCGGTTACGTTCCTCAGCTGTAATTGGATAAAGCGATGGTCATGTGTTCGATGGAGTACTTGGCCCTGATTAAGGCTGCTGAGCAGTGGCGGCTTCTCATTCAAGCCTTGCAACTTTGTCCAAAGAGAGACTCTTTGAGTCTGTTATTTTCATGCTGCCCTCCTAGTGTGATGTTTATTGTTACAGCTCCTATCTTCTCTTTGAATAGTGTCTTTGCCCCGTCTGAGCCAGAGTTTGGTTTCAGAGGCTGGGAGGCGGTGTTTGTGGATACAGTAAGCGTCCCTGTCATTTTCAGTGGGTTCACATTTCAAGGAACCACAATAGCTACCATTTAATACAACTTGTCTCAGAGTTTGCTCCAACTTATCAACTACGTAGTTTTACAAAAAGAAGAAGCCAACCACCCACAAACCCGTGTTTGTGCAGTTGAAGTGGCACCTCTGAATCATCTTCATTCTCTGCGGAGGGAGGGATAGCAGAGAAGGGAAGAAACGAGGAATGTAGGCTCTCCGGCTTCTCTGCAAAACCTGCTGTGACAGGGTCCCTAGCAGCTGGAGATGAAAGCGGAGCTCCTGAGGTGTCTGAAGAGAGGTAACAGAAACAAGAAACAGGCTATTAGGATTATTGGAATTCTGCGCGTGGCTCATCTTGGGCACTGTGAGCTGCCAACAAGCAACAGATGGCTGGGAGTGAGACGGGAAGGGAGAAAATGTTATTAACAGATAACACGGTGAAGGTTTCAGACGCAATCCTCGTTTCTTCCTGATGTCATTGTGTTTCTGGTTGTCTGTGGTGGATACAAGCAGGTCAGTGACCACTGTTGGCATAATGCTGTGAGTCCATATGGCCTCCTGATTGACAGCCTTTTTTTTTTTTTTTTTAAGTGGAAGCTTTTGATTGTGTAGGAAGAGCTTTGAGCTGAAGGAGGGAATTCTGGATGTTGTACCTTCACATGAGAAACTTGAGTGGACAGCACGGTTTTGGAGGCTCTCTTCTTCTAAAAGAGAAACTAAATTCCATTTCTGTTCTTCTGTCAGGGCTGGTGGACGAAGCCATTGATACCAAATCTCTGTTGGATGCTTCCGAAGAAGCAATTAAAAAAGACCTGGACAAGTGTAAAGTGGCCATGGCCAACATTCAGCCTCAGATGCTGGTCGCTGGGGCAACCAGCATTGCTCGTCGGGCCAACCGGATCCTGCTGGTGGCCAAGAGGGAGGTGGAGAACTCTGAGGATCCCAAGTTCCGTGAGGCTGTGAAAGCTGCCTCTGATGAATTGAGCAAAACCATCTCCCCGATGGTAATGGATGCAAAGGCTGTGGCCGGAAACATTTCTGACCCTGGTAAGCAATGCATGATATGGTTCACTTCAGCTGAGAGGTTGACTCAGGAAGCTGACACAGTGGTGAGAGAATATGCACCCCACAATCACCACACACAAGGTCTGAAGCAGAAACTACAGGCTTGGTTTGAGGATGCTGGATTAACCTTTTTCTGTCTAAATCTCTGCAATATCGGCAGGCTTGTTGTAAGTTAGTTTCTTAATGTTGTTTGGCTAAACAGCTTCTGGTCCTATTCAGTCAATCTTTTGGAAATTTCTCAAAAGATGCACAAGCAGTTTACCAACTGTTTAGCTTATGTAACTGGCATAACTCCTCTTGTGCTTTTTCTTAAAATGCTTTTTTCTTTCCCTGTAAAACTGTCTCTTTATTTCTGTCAAATCTGGAGGGCTTAAGCTTGACCTATGGATCTCTTAGGTACATTATACTGGTCCCACACCAAAGAATCTGGGTTTTCTTTAGATAGATTTTGAACATGTTTTCAGTAATACTAAAGCAGATCATAATTGGAACCACACATTTGTCTTGTTAGAAACATCTGAATTCTCTCCTGTTCCAAGCCCTCAATGTTTCTAGCCTCATCTGTAAGTAAAGTCCAGTCACTGTGAGAGAGTAGAAAGAGGGGCTGCTCTATTCATCCCTGGCCTGGCAGATTCTTTCAGATACTCTTAACCCACCATCACTAAGAACATGCTCAGTTTCCCAACTGAAGTTTCTAATAGTTTGAGTGGATTCCTGAATTCCAGGTGACAGGAGCAGCAGCTCAATACAGGGGTTAACATGCTGCAAGCCAAGTAGAGCAAAGGAGCAGGAGAAAGGTGAGAAGTACTCCAGGGAACGTATGCCCAACCTGAAACTGACATGTCCGATGTTCTGAGCTGGGCAGGCTTATCTTCTGACTACCTCATCATAAGAGGTGATGGGTGCCACCTGAGCCCAAAGATCAGCGCTCACTTCCGGGGATTGCCTGAGTACTTGTTAGTTGTACCGGCAAGAAGGCGCCCTGAACACTACAGGGAATAGCTGTTTAGTGATGCTTCCAGCTCTTTGCAGACCTCAGGATGTTTGTCTTGCCCTTACCTCTCGTCTCCTTCAGTCAGTGCCTGAGATGCTCACTGGCAACTTCACATCCAGCTTTTGTTAATGGAACCAGTTCTTCTGCTGGACAGACAGTACTCCAGGGCATTGACCTGCCCAGCTGAAAGTGAGGATGTCTTGTGTTTAGGCCTGCAAAAGAGCTTCCTGGACTCAGGATATCGGATCCTGGGTGCCGTGGCCAAGGTCAGAGAAGCCTTCCAACCTCAGGAGCCTGACTTCCCGCCTCCTCCCCCAGACCTTGAACAGCTCCGTGTAAGTAAATTCAGAGAGACGGGGAGAAGTGAGCCGCGAGGTGTTGGCACTATAGCAAGAGAGAGGTAGACTGCTCTGGAGCCTCAATCACTAGGTGGCTTTGTTTAGCTTTTACTTGAAGCTTCACTTGGAGACAGAGCTTGATTATCATTCCTATATCTAGTGGATTCATAACCTATGCTTATGCGTGGGGTGTACTGGGTAGGTGGGTGTCTGTGGTGTTGGCCTGCTGTGATGGGGTGGCCAGAGCCGAGGAGCTGGCTTCAGTAACTGTGGATTTGATAAGTGGTGAATTAGTGGGCAGGTTAGTGAGGACTCGTAAAATACTCTGCAGCTCTGCACAGCTCATGGCAAGGAGTTTTTGTGTATTGCCAGTTGACAGCGGTAAAACTGAGGTGGTTAGAATCTTGTGTAGGTTCTTTACTTGGTATCTTTTTTAAAATCACAAAAGTCATACATACTTGTTTTATTAAAAAAAACTTCGTTTTTTACCTCACTGTAATTTAAAATCTTTTGATGCCTCCAAAGAACCATGAATATATTCCTCCCATAGTCAAATGGTTTAGAAGGAGGCTAGCTGAGCCATAGCTTACAGATACAAAACCTAGATACAGAAATGGTGATTTATTTTTAGACATTTACTCCAACTAACAGTAGTGGGAATTCCTTGAGTTTGGGAATAGCCCCACTAAGGTACTAGTTTGATTTGCTTTCCCATAATTAATGTTAGTAAAAGATGTACATTTCTAAGTTGATTGAGGGCAAAATTGGGTCACTGTGCCCATAGTTAAAGAACAGTGATCCCCAGCCTCCAGCATTTACTTTGAATCTTTCCAGCTGGGCTCTAGGTCGTGGTTAAGGCTGGGAGAGCGGGTGTTCCTGGGAACGTTTTCTTATGAGATCAATAGAGTCATGACATTAGAATGAGGATCTTAGAGATCATCTGTTCTAGCTACCCCTTACTGACAGACAAGGAGGCTGGGGCCTAAGGGAGAAGTCACTTGCCTACTCAGTTTTCTTTCAGCAAGACAGACCATAACTTGAGTCTTCTATAGGATCTTTAAGCATTCTTGGTCCAGTAGTGCTGAGCATGCCTTCCTGAGATATGACCAGAATGGTAGCCGCTAGCTTTTTATATGGGGAAAAAGGAAGAAAATAGGCTTCTGTTGGTCCTTGTGGCTCAGTGTGGGGAGTCTCATGTAGAGTGATTGTGGTGACTTTTCTGGGGGTGCTTTTTAGAAGAAAGCATTCTAGGGGGGAATAGTTCCTAAGGCTTTATTGCAATTTGGTGATTTTCTTTCTTAGCTAACAGATGAGCTTGCTCCTCCTAAACCACCACTGCCTGAGGGTGAGGTCCCTCCGCCCAGGCCCCCACCACCAGAGGAGAAGGATGAAGAGTTCCCTGAGCAGAAAGCTGGGGAGGTGATTAACCAGCCAATGATGATGGCTGCCAGGCAGCTCCATGATGAAGCTCGCAAATGGTCCAGCAAGGTAAGGCGTGAAGCTTTTCTCACTGAGAAAGGATGTCTTCTCAGAAAGGATTAAGAACCATGCACACTGCCCAGGAAGAAGGGTCTATTTGGAAAGTCACTCCTTCGCTCTGCTTTGGTTCCTGTGTTACCTGTGTTTTAGTGAAATGATATCTATTGCTTGATGATTTCTCCTTCTAGCACAGAGGTGAGAGGTAGGATGTCTGTGGTTTGAGAAAAGCATTCCTTTTCTGTTTGTCCATTATCTTGTCTGCTGCGCTGACCCTGGACATTGGGGTCTGTTAGAAAATGATTAGCTTTCTTGAGATTGCTGAGTGTTTTTAGATGCTCCATTGCTTATTATCAGAGCACTAAACATCGAACTGTCTTCCTTGAGCTCTGTTACAGTTAGATGAAATGTTTGCATTTTCCTTCTATTTTTTTCACAGAAGCAGGCAAATTGGTGTCTTAGAAGCCATGTGCTTTGTCCTTTCTCAGAATCATCTTACCTTTCAACTCAAGATGGCGCTAGGCTAACTCCAACAAGTGTAAATAGTAATGTGCTTGGTAAAAATTTGGGTGCTGCAGCAGTTAGGCCCTATGAATAACTTTTGCCTAATTTCCCCTAAATGATGAAAAGTGAGTGCTCGCTTTTCTAGAGAAGAGCTAAATATTGCTGCTAACTTACAGTGAAATATAGTTCTAACTCAGTTCTAAACTGTTTCTAACATGACCTTATATCTTTGTTGCCACCAGCTATTTGCCTTTATTCTTTTCATATGCTCTGTCTTCTCAAGCTCTTGTACTGAATGTAGTTCCCCAGGGACCTCCAGCATATGCAGCTGGTCTTGGATTTTTTTAGGTTGGGAATTGACCTTGGTTTTTAACTGTTTTTCTGAATTGTTAGCTGTGAGCCTGGGTTCCAAGAAGGAATGGAGACCTTGCTGGTGTTGGACTTGACCTGTGGAATTATTTATAATGGTATCTCTCCAATTGGAGCGTGCACACCCCTGGGACCATGTGGTAGAGTCGTAGTGGGTATAGGTAATAGGGGAAGGTGACAAGGAACGTTAGTTTTATGCCAAGATTATTAAAAGAAATTTGAGCTGCATTACACATGAATTTTCAAGATAAACTTAAAAGGCTTTAAAGAGGGTAGGTGGTGTTGGCTGACACATTGACACCACTCTGCCATTGGTGGCCAAAAGTCCTTAGGTCTGATAGCCTCTAGAGGTTTTGGAGCATCAGGGGATTGCTGACTTTGAGCTGTGTGAAGTCGGGCTATTTGAACTGTGTGTATGTGTGTGGTGTGTTTGTGTATCTGTTAGTCGTCTTTGTACGCTTTGAACCTCAGCAGCAGTGAGCCGGCCTCTCCTCTAAGGAGTGTGGATGAGTCTTGTTTGAGACAGAGTTTAGAGGAAGGAGTTTCGATAGTAACTGAATGCCTTGTTGGTCCTGAATCCTCCAGCTTCATCGTCACTCTCTGGAGACAGGCTTCCTATGCAGGATGAGATTTTTACAAGTGATAACAATCTCAAATCAAATTCTATACAAACTCCTACTTCCTCTTGGTCAGAGATGTTTGTTGTAAAGTACCTTGCTCACTGCTCATCATTCTTCATATAAGTGGTTTGGCTTCATTGAGGCAGTTCCTTGTATTTTCTTTCCATTCCAGCCTATTTTCAGTATCTGATCCCCCTTTCACCTCCTCTGGCCTTTCAGAATCCCTATCCCTGACATTAAATTCATTCTCTTCCCCTCGTGGTTCTTACTCTGTACTGGCACCAATTTGGGCTCCTGCAAGGGTACCTCTGGGCTCATTTTGAAACATCCTCAGCCCATTCAGTTGCAAGGTCCATGTGTTGTCTTATCTGTGAACTAGGTAAGTTGAGTTTGGGGTGAGAACCCTATTTTGCAACAGGGTAGATTTAGGTTGTACCCAAGGAGGAGAAGCTTTCTGAGATGGTACTAGCAATGTGTGCAGTAACAGATTATGGAAACTTTGTCTCTGGTGACCTTGAAGGGCTAGAGAGCCGGCCTGAAGGGTGGTTTTTCTTTGAGATGGGAGGCTGGACAAAGCATCTTCTTGAGGGTCTTTCAGCTGGGAGATGGTGGGGCACTTGATAAGTCGTCCTCACCCACTGCTGTGTTTGTTTTCCTGCTTATTTTCTGGTTTGGTATTTGTTACTGCCGATGTATCGTTTTTTAATTCTGGGACTTTTAACTCTTGAAGGTAATAATAATCACGTCTGATAACTGCAGAGCTCACTGGTGTTGCTTACTCTGTCCCAGCGTAAACAATGTCCATACGGGTGTTTAGTTTGTTCTGTTCAAAGCAACTCGTGTGGCTGCATTTTTTTTTGCCTCTCTGGATTCCTTTTAAAGGTACTCAGCTACTATTGTTTAGTTGGTTGGCTCCACAAAGATGTTCTGACATGAGAATTACTCTTGGCATATTTAACTTTGGTAGTAAGTATGTAAAAAATGAATGCCACTTTCTTCTTGGTATAAATATTTCTTTGGAAACCCTTTGCCATTGGACTGAATCTCTTTCATTCATTCACCACAGGGTGGCTTAGGCTCAGAGAATGACTGCTCTCCCTTCTGTGGAGCTTGGTTCATCTGGCTTCTGGAGAGTATGCCATTTTCTTTCCCATCCCAGGCAAGCTTTGGTTACTAAGCCAGCTGAAGCTCAGTATCCAAAGTCCTACTGCTCTTACTAACACTAACCCTGTTTCTCATCCTTCCCGCCATCGACAAAGCCGGGTAGCCCAGCCGCTGAGGTGGGTATAGGTGTTGTAGCTGAGGCAGATGCTGCTGATGCTGTTGGGTTCCCTGTCCCCCCTGACATGGAAGACGATTACGAACCTGAGCTGCTGTTAATGTCATCCAGTCAGCCGGTCAACCAGCCCATTCTGGCCGCGGCTCAGTCATTGCATCGTGAAGCCACCAAGTGGTCTAGTAAGGTACTGATTAGCACTCCCAGTTGGGGGCTGCTCCAAATGCATCCGGCCATGTGCAGCCTTGACACATTGCATCACTCATGATCTGTGCGGGTCCTGTGAGTCTGAGCAGGGCGGGCATCTGTCTGTCTGCACCTTGTTAAAACTGGCTTCACAAGTTTGATAGGTCTGCTAATGCTAGATTAATTGAATTGCATTTATGTTTGGGGGCTGGGGAGAGATGGAGTCACTTTTTGAAAGGATTCCTTTTCTTACCAACCTTGTGGCCACTGTTGGAACCTGAAACCCCTTGGGAAGCCCTGGATGAGCCTCTCAGTGACTTCCAGGTCAGAAAGCATTATAGACTCTTCAAGAGGTCACTTGGCCAGACCCTTGAGCTTTGCCTGCCCGCCACTGACCTCTCACTGATGGCTCAGAGGCAGACTTGATCTGGGTGAGAAGCAGCTTTATATGGCAGGGTCTCTGGGGAGGACTGCTTTCTGCCCTGCACTTGGCTGTGTGACAGATGCTGGCCTTGATGGGTGCCCACAGGGAAGGGGCCTTCACTGACTGCTTGTCCAGGTGTCTCAGTGGTAGGGGATGGGAGTCAGGAACTGAGAGTGCTCAAGGCTGCAGGGCAGCAGCAACAGAGCTTTGGCCTTGGGGACTGAACCAAAGCTAGTTTGGGGGATTGGGATGGGGTTAACTTCTTTCCTTTGAAGGTGGCATGTTGCAAGAAGAAAAGGTTTGAAGAGTGATCAGTAACTAACCCTGGCACTAGACTGTCTTCTAACCAAGGTCATGAAACACTGGCATCACCTTAGGTCTGCACTAGAAGAGGCGGGCCTAGTGGGCCTTCTCTAACACATCCCCATACCTTATAACTTCTTCGCATACCTGTGTTCGCTCCAGCCTCAGTTACTGCCTGACACTTTACACACCTTCTGGCCTCAACAGTCAGTCACTTAGCGGTGCTTGTGGAGGCCTCTCAGAGAGGCCCTGCAGTGGCATGTTTTGTGTATGTCTCACTGCATTTTACAGAAACTGAAAAGCATGAGGGGAAAGATGAGTAGGGCCTGGATCTTTAGGTACATTTGAACATTGCCTTACCACTCTGCAGTTGTTGATATTTTTGGTTGTTATCAGCCAAAATATGAGCATTGTGAGGACATAGTATGTCCCGTGAGGGTTTTAATGAGCTAAAGTGTCAAATCCAAGATGATCTGCCAAGAGTTGGAGTGGGGCCTGACTCTTGATTTTGATTTTCCTGATGCCCTCCTAAAATATCCTTTTAGCCAATTCTTTTAATTGGAGGCTTCACTTAGCGGAAGGGACCTAAGAATTGATCCTTGGCCTTTTTAAATGTGAAGAAATTAAAATAACCTGTTCCTTCAGGCTGACAGGACAAACAGAGAAGCAACAGCGGGAGGACTGGGGCAGTCTAGACTGGAAAACGATTTCCTTTTTTCACTCTCAGGCTGAGAATAGTTACTTGGAGTTTTAAATTCTAGTTCAGAAGGGAGAGTCCTTGGCTGCTGTTTGCAGCGAGAGTAGGGATGAAGGCGATTTTAGCATCTGGAAAGGCTCCTCTGTATTTTTCCCCTCATGCCAGCTCTACTGCTTTCCCCATATAGAAACAAAAATGCCTGTTTAACCAACTCCTTGGCCCTGCCCCCCATTTCCTTGATGTGATTAACTTGGAAATGCTGAAGTGCTTGTTCAGTGCTGTGCCTGCAAAGTACTTTCAGGCTAACTTTCAGGCTAATTATCCTGTCTTCCTTTTTTCAGCTGGGCGGTCTCTCTCTCTCTCACTGAGTGCTGGGGAGAGTGCCCTGGCTCACTCTCCTTTGTCTGTTTGTCTGTCTCTCTACGGCTATCCAGCTATCCGTCTGACTCGAGAACCGTCCTTTTATCCTCTTCTCACTCTTACAGAAGAGCTGCTAGTACAGCAGGCTCCCTCCTCTCTTCTCTGCCCCTGCATCCTTCCCTAAAGTCACCAGAAGGTGGACTGGGCATCACACTGTATCTTTGTTTCTCTCTAGGGCAATGACATCATTGCAGCAGCCAAGCGCATGGCTTTGCTGATGGCTGAAATGTCTCGGCTGGTAAGAGGGGGCAGTGGCACCAAGCGGGCACTGATTCAATGCGCCAAGGACATCGCCAAGGCCTCAGATGAGGTGACTCGGTTGGCCAAGGAGGTTGCCAAGCAGTGCACAGATAAGCGGATTAGAACCAACCTCTTACAGGTACTGGGGAAAGGAGGCCCTGTGTGTGGGGGTTGGTAGGGGTGTGGGGTGTGGGGGGAGAGGGGATGCAGAAGAGAGAAGCCTGGAATGTGGGTGAGTAGGGAAGAGGTAAGAGGTACTTCAGAGGAGAAAGAAATAGCAGAGAGGGAAATGAAATATACCTGTGTACTTGGGACAGATTCAAGAAAGTTTATTTCCTAATCAAATGAAAGAATTTGGATGCTTCCACTTCTGGATAAAGGGACTCTGCTGACCCTGGAGAGAAAACAAGTGGAATCTTGCTGCTAATTTTTTGAACTTGTGGGCAAGACAAATGTGGAAACGTACTAAATTAAACTTTTTTCTCAGGTGTGTGAGCGAATCCCAACTATAAGTACCCAGCTCAAAATCCTGTCCACAGTGAAGGCCACAATGCTGGGCCGGACGAACATCAGCGATGAGGAGTCTGAGCAGGTACGGGCTTGCTCCTTCTGGTTTCTTGCCAGCAGCTTCTGTGCCATTTTACAGCAATTTAATTCAGCCTTAGGGAACTTTTACAAATGAATCGATTATTCAGTATGAGGGACGGACTCGTAGACTGTCTCAGGAGGATATCTATGTTGGAGAGACGCATCAGGAATTTGGACTTGCAAGTAAACCTCTAACTCTTATGCAACTTTTATCATTTTACAGATGGGAAATTGAGGCCTGGAGAGATTGTCTCTGAAGTAACACTGAATCAGTGGCCAAGTTAGGGTTCTACTCAGTTCTTTTCCTCCCTGGAATAGGTTTGGCTATTTTGAGGCCTCCAGTGCATGTTCACCCACTTCCTGTATCTTGTTGGCTGGAGGGATTTCTGCTTGCCAGCTCTGCAGATGAGCAATGCTCAGGGAGGATGGACAGTGCAGGCCTGTGCTGAGGCTGACCTGACAACTCAGACGAGATGCTTCTCTTGTATTCCCGTTAGGTTTCTCAGACAGAGATTGAACTAAGGATGGTAGGAGGGTTCTCTGAAGTGATGCCTTCTGAATGTACCTGGCAACTGGTTCTTGCAGTTTGTCTTCCTTCCCTCTTGGAGCTATGGCCCAGGTCTTAGAGAAAACCCTCATTTAAGTACTCCTTCCTCTCTTTATCTCCCCTTTGGCATGCCTTGCTATGAGCTAAAGCCTCCCAGTTTCTTATAATGAATAGCACATCTCTGGTTGAATTGCCCAGACAGGGCCCATCTTACATAGGGTATGTATAAGGCACTGTATTAGGTGTTATGGGAGTTAGAAAAAAAAAAAAAAAGAGAGAGAGAGACACACAATCCTTCCCCTTGGGGAACTCACAGATAGTTCTCTGTCTGACTCTAGGCCAGGAGACAGAGGCTGGGGGCACTTCAGAGGAAACAGCGAGGCCACTCTTCTGGGTACCAGTCTTACTGCTTTCACTACCAAGTTCTAACCCAACAGCTTGAGCCCTAACCCTGTCTTCTTCCAAACTGGGGGAATAGGACCTTCACCTTTGATGTCCATGTATTTCTAGGCAGGGTTTGGGCACTGGGCAGCATCCCTGTCATTGATCTCTTCTGCCCAAAGACACAAAAGTGGGAAAAATGGAGAAGGAAGGGTAAGGTTAGAGATTCAGACCTTATCATTTAATCAATCAACAAATGAGTATATCTACTATGTCCTAATAAATGTTTCAATAAAAAAGTTGGAAAGTGGCAGTGTGGTAGAACAGAAAAAATACAGTTGCTGCAAGTCTCTGAACCTCTCTGGGCCTCAATATCTTTGTCAACTGAGCAAAGAGACAGCTGACCAGAAATAGCTTACCAGAAATTCTAGCTTATAGTTAGGCCTGTCAGAGTCCATGAACCCTCTGAAATTGCATGCACACATTTTGTGCATGTGAGCATTTTTTCTGGAGAGTCCACAGCCTTTATCAAATTTTCAAAGGGTCTGTGACTCCAAAGTAGTTAACAGTAGGCTAATAAATTGCCAAGTTCCCTTTTTATGGTGTCCTAGTCCTGGGAGTTTGTGTGAAATTTAGATTTTCATGGATTTATAAGGTAGTTGATTGTTCATTTGGTTGTTATCATTCATTCATTCATTAAATATTTATGAAATACCTCTTATGTGCCAGGCACTGCCCTAAACACTGGGGGTAGAGCAGTGAGGAAAACTGACAAAAATCTTTGCCCTCGTGGAACTTAAATTTTAGTGTGGAGACAGATAAAACAAGCCAACAAAAAAAAAAAACAAGGTAAAGTATATCGTATATCAGTTAGCGATAATGGTTGCTTTTGGAGAAGAATAAAGAAAGAACTGGAGGATTGGGAAGGCTGGGGGTTGGGGAGTTGGTTGATGAACAGGGAGGGTGTCACCAAGGTGACACTTGAGCAAAGATCTGAAGGAGGTGAGGAATGAGTCATGGGACACCTGGAGGAAGCATGTTCCAGGTAAAAGGAATAGTAAGCATAGGGGTGCTGAGGCTGGGTGTTGGAAGACCGGGAAAGAGTACATGCTATAGGCCCTCTGAAGGCACAGTACACAGTCAGTGATGGATCAGTTCTGGCTTCTTTCTGGTGATCCAGATGAATCACCATTGATGCAAGCAAGTACAGGGGATGCCAGGTGCAGGTAGGGTTCACTGGAGCTGCCCCTGGCTTAAGCCTGTTTCAGGGGTGGGCTGCAACAGGGAGTGTAATGGAGATCTCTTCTTTCCTTGCAGGCCACAGAGATGCTGGTTCACAACGCCCAGAACCTCATGCAGTCTGTGAAGGAGACTGTGCGGGAAGCAGAAGCAGCTTCAATTAAAATTCGAACAGATGCTGGATTTACACTGCGCTGGGTTAGAAAGACTCCCTGGTATCAGTAGGTCCCGGGCCAAACCTGGCTGGCACAGAAACCCCTACTAAACAGAAGGAAAATTATGAGTCCCAGGAACTGCCCAGTGTTGCTGGGGGCTTGAAAGCCACATCCTGGCCTGTCACATCAGAAAGGAATGGGGGCCTCTTCACGTTAGAAAACATTTACTCTTGTCATGGAGGACATTTTGAAACTGTCTCCATATAAAGCCTGTATTCTCAAACACAGTTATATTTGTGCACACTCTATCCCAAAAAGCAGACTGGGTCTCCAGCTCACGGACTTCACATAAGCTTAGAATCCAAGTGAACGCTAGCTAGGCACCCTTCTCTGTCCTTGTTCCCTAGGGAACAGTTCCCTGAGAGGAACCTTCTCTGCTTCCTATTCACTGCCTCCATTCTCCCCTTTAGGCTCCTAAGACCCAGGGCCCAGGCAAGTCAGTTAAGAAGGAAATCACTGTGCCTCCAAAAATTGTTTTGGGCTTCCCACATTGCTGCTGACCCTGCCTGGCTTCCCTGGGCTGTGCTACCTGGGTCCTTTTCAGAAGTGAGCTTCGCTGCTGCAGGGGAAAGTGGCCTCTGGGGGGCCCCCAGTATATGGGGCTGGGTTCATTTTCTGCCCTTCCCCAATTTAATCCTTCTAGTTTCCCACAGTACAAAACCAAATTTCATTCTGTCTGGAAGACAGAGATTCACACGGTTCTGTCTTCAGCATGCCCCAGAGCAACGTCTGTTCCAGGGACACTTCCGGCCCCATTTCCTGCCCTGGCCTTCCAAGGTAGCTATCGCAGGAACGCACTGTGTGTCCTGGTGCTCTCTGCCACTGGAGGGGCAGAGTAGCTGGGCCTTGGCCCTGCCCATCCTCCCAGTGGGGCCACTCCCAGGCGCTCCACGCTATCACTGCCTGCAGAGGTCTATGCTGAGGCCTTATTCATTCTAAGCTCTTACTGTTCTGAGCTGAAATGCTGCATTGATTTTTAACCAAATCATGTCTTCTATCCTGGCTTTTATAGTCTTCCCCTATACCCTACCTAAACAAGGTTTTAAAGATATGTAGGTATTTGTTCATCTGTAATAATAATAATTACAGATGAACAAACACCTACCTTTTTATCCTTCTGAAATTCAGCCCTAAGAATTGGTGCTTGGCCCTCAAGAGTGTATAATGGAAAGTCTGAAGGAAACTCCTACCTAAGGGATAGCAGCTGTAGACTGGAATTCTGGCACTGCTGGGGATTTACATGATCAATCAATGGGAAACACTCCTGAATTCCTACTCCCCTTCAATTAACTACAACCAAGCCCCTTGAATTCCCACCACAAGTATGTTTGAGAGAGTAAAGGGTATAATGTTTAATTATCACCATAATAAGTTTCCTATTAGGCAAAGTGAGAGAGAAGTCGATTTTTCTTTTCTTTTTTGCACTTACCACTGCTGTCTAAGCATTCCCCAGCACATGAAAGGATGTACTTCCAAAGGCAGAACCAGATGAGTAAAGGAATAAGAACCCTTGCCTGAATGGCCTTCCCTCCCACCCCCAGTGTGTGTTAGACCCCAACATCAAATGTGTAAAACTTGTCTTAAGTTGGTCTTGCACATTCTTACTTCTTCTGTTTCCTTTTAATGGATGAACATTATTTTCACGGTCCTCAGTGTATCTATGTAGTTGCTTATCTGATATAAATGCAATATTAATGCCTTTAAAGTATGAATCTATGCCAAAGATCACCTTTTGTTTTACTAAAGATGACTGAGAGGAAATAAGAAAAATCACAGTTGCTCTCCAAGTTCTTCCAGTGTTTCAAGTCACTGGTTTACACTTTATGCCGGATGTGCTTTTTTGCAATATCAGTGCTCAAGATACAGTGAAGCAAAGAAAAAAAGGAAATCCCTGAATGATGATTAGAGATGTCACCCCTAAAAAATTACATTTATAAGCTAGGATTTGTTATATGCAAATATTTTCTGCCTTTTGTTCTGTTTAAAACAATAAAGTGCATTTGTATAAATAATGCTTTAAATGATGGAGATGTTAATTTTAGCCAGAGCCTGTAGATAAGGTTTCTCCTTTATTTTGAAGACTGACCAATGAAACTAATCCTCAAGATCTGCAATATAAAGATTTTTATTTCATCAAAATGTTGGTATTGGAAGAAGCAGAAACCAGCAGTGGTATATTTACTTGACAAGGATCTGTAAAGAGCAACTTTGGGGACTGTACAGTAGGAGGGGAAATGGCAAAGGTAACAGGAAAGCAGCCAGATGATGTGGGACAACCCCCCCCCCCCCCACAGTCTAAGTACTCTGTTTTCATTTTAGAAGATTCCAGCTATTGGTGGAGATCATCACTGTCCCCTAAGCTGTTAAATGTGCAGAAGTACCACAGGTCCATTTTTTCTATTCCAAAGCCCAGTACAGAAAAGTAGGGTTGCCAGGGGGCCACCAGGGCTATGAGGCAGAGCTAGCTTTTGGGGACATATTCCCCTTCTTGCTTGAGGAAGCACTAAGACAGTAGAATTCTTGGGAATAGAGCTGGGGCATCACTGTTTTTCACTTGATTTTCTACTGCTGCCAACTGCATTTATCACTGCTTTAACTTAGGAAAGTTGCTGATCAGAGGCAGATTCTAGCCGGCTTGAGTTAAAAGGAACGTCCAAGGCTACTGAATTAGCTCAGTAATCTCTGAAAACAGTATTCATAGCTTCACTTTTGCCACTTGCGGTATGTTCACTGGTGCTGCCTTCCCGCTACATTATAATTTTGCTGTTTTCTCAAACCACTTGACTCTAATGACAAGAGCAGCATCTTCCAAGAGTCCTGTAGCACCACTTCAGGAATAAATCCATCAGGTGGATGCCCTTTGAATAAATGACAGCAAGTCCCTCATGCAAAAACTGAGTGAGGATCCACTTCATTTGCTCTTGGGATATACTCCCTGAAGAATTTAAAAAGAGGGACAACATCACTGATTTAAAAAAAAAAAAAAGAATCTAGAAAGAGGGGCTATTCTGCAATTAGCCTGAACTCTGTGCTTGAAAAAATATTCCAATACTACTAAATATATATGGACTTTGTAATTGGTAGTTGGTGACGGTGGCTGGGTGACTGAATAGCTTTGATCACTTACTGCTCAAAGTCTTTGGCCAGGAGAGTGAGGCACAGAAACAGTGTGCCCATATGGTGTCACTATACTGTGTGTAGGACAGGAGCACTTGGAAGTGCTGGCAGCTATCCTCACACCTTGCTAAGGAATAAGATCTGATCGTGTTCAGCCTGCTCTGGCACTGAGCCATCCATCAGAGAATGCTCAATCAACAGTCAAGCTAAAAAAAAAAAAAAAATCACCTAGTTGCTTTCATCCTTTTATTGACATTATAGCCAGAGCTAAAGAAAGGATTTACTGGATTCTGTCAAATTAATAAATACAGTAATTTAACTGTGAAAGGAAAAAGTCAATCAGGACAGAAATTTCTAGAGACAAGGGACTCTTGGCACACAATCTGCTTTGTATATAGGAGGAAAATTGAACAGTCCAGGTATGGATGGTTGGGATTAGGGATTCTGTAGAAAGAAAAACAGATGTTCTGATTGCCCTTCTGAGTTAAGAACCCTAAAGAGGGAGACACTGAAAATGAAGCAGTGGAGCTGGGTAAAGGGAATATGTATTTGACAACATCTTGATTTTAGTTACCAATCAGAGATTGGTTACCCTAGAAATTGAGAAGTTGCACAAACTGGCCGTTTGTATCAGATGAAAGCCAAGTTGGGTGGTGAGGCAGTAAAAGGTGAGAATGCTGCTGTGCAGTGGCCATCCCTGCACCAGCACCAACCACTAAGCCCTTGCCAGCAGAAATGGGAGAGTAAGAAGGGCTTTCCTTGGCATGATAAGGGAAAGGGAGTCAGAAACTGAGAACGAAAAGAATGCAGCCACAAGGAGAAGAAACTAACAGCGTAAGTAAGAAAAAGAGGGAAACATGAAGAATAAACACTTATTTTTCAGCCTTTCTCCATTTCTATGTGTCTAATGAGGCAGAATAACTGGGCAAAGACTTCCAAGCCACTGAGGTTGAATGACATGATACTTTAACTGGAGACTGACTAGTAAACCACGATGATCACAATGGTGTCAGCAATGTCACTGAGGATTTTGTTTCTGCCACAGTGTACCATACTTCCATGTACTTTATCAGGACAGAGAGATACCAACAAGTACTCCAGTGACAATTACAACAATAGTTTCAAGAAAGAATCTGAGTAGTAATCTACTGAGATTCTCTGTGTGAGAACCACATAATGCAGAAAAGGAGTTCCCCCTGAAGACAAGGGATGCAGGCAAATTCAGGCCCTTAAGAACAACAACAACCAAAAAGATAAAAGATTAAAAAAAAGACTGAAGACATGAGGCAGGCACATTTCTCTCCTTTTGTTAAACTAGGGCATGAGGCATTTAGGCTAACTATGGTTTAAGTGGTGCTGGATAAGCCTTATAAAACATGAAGATGGCAAAGGTTTCAGCTTCAGTTTCTCTTTTACTGCTTTAATTTGCTTAAGAGCTCAAATGCTTGTGCTTGCAGTAACTTCCTAAAAGAAGTAGTGTTCCCTTTCCTACCTTAATAAAGCATTCACCCCCTTGCTCCAAATGATTTTTACTGTGCTAACAACTGAACCAGTGGCACAAAACTGAGATGGTATTTACTGCAGCAAGGTCCCTGTAAATCAAAATCTGAGTTTTACATAAAAATCTTATTTATAAAAAATACAATACCAAGTACAGTGAGAGTGGAGCATGGAGCAGCAGTGCTCCTTGCCAGGGCCATGTGGAAGTGGCTTTTGCTACAGTGCTTGCTTAATGGCACAAGTGAAAAGCTGAATAAGGCAAACACTTGAAGAGGCAGTTTTCTGTAAACTTCTCAGGGTTGGGTAGAGGGGGATCTTCCTCTGTTGGGACAGATGCTGATTTGGGATGGGCAAGATCAGAAGGTATGACACTTGGTTGCACCTGACACATCACAACACAGGTTAAGACAGCTCCTGCTGGCTGAGACAAGTTCACTTGTTTTAGGAGGGAGGTTATCACTGTAGCCTTCTGCCTTTACTGTCACAGTGTGCAGCATCCAGCTAGTAACCCCTATAGAGAAAATCACCTCCAAAATCTTCCTTAATGAAAAGGTACAAAATAAGCTAAGTCATTAGAAAAGTTTCCTTAGCTTAAAGCTCCTTAAGGACCCTACACTGATTACTAAGCTACTTTGTTAGGGGTGTGCAGCTTGACACAAATGCTTTAACTAGAATATGTATTCCCACCCACTTGGTACCTAATAGTAAAACACTGTAACGACACTTGGAAAACAAACAGATCTTGAAGAATTTTGGCCTCTTCTCATGTCCTCACTTGGAACTTTCCAGCTTTAGTGACATATTTGACTCCTTTAAATGGCTTATACTTCTCCCCATACATGTCCAAGCGGTTTACTTTTAAGCCTGTGTCAAAAAAGAATAGGCAAGGAAAGGAATAAATTATCTTCCTGGTCACACCAATGAATACAGAGTTTGTTTAGCAAGGAGCACTAACTATATGGTAAATCTCTTGACATTTACCAGTGTCCCTTCCACCACTGGGAGGCAATGTTCCTTCTACCATTCACACCTTATGGCATTGTCAGGGTATGGTTTTAGTTAACACTCTCAAGTGGGCAGGCAAAAGTCTTTACAGGGTAATTCTACTTTTCTCTGAGTATGAATGAATCCCTCTTTGGTGCTTCAGTGTGGGTGGGAGTGAGGGAAGCTGCGTGAAATCATTAGTACCTGAGAGGTGAGCACCACAGCACAATATAAAAGGCAAACCAGAATTGTTGTTCTTTCTAAGGAGAGAATGTTAATTACCCTTCTAAGCTTCTAATAGTTGAGCTCTGCAAAACTCAATTACTCTTAAACACAGTCAAACTGATGATACATCCTTACCTGAAATAGCAAGCTGCTGGATCTTGAACTGTATGTTGAGGCTTGGATTCTCTTCTGGCTTGGGTGCTCCAGACTGTAAATTCACCAGTCCTTTAAGACTTGGGAGCTTTTGTGGAGTGATTTTCCCCACATCCCATGTTAGTACCTTAAAAAATAAAGAACAAAAACAATCTGAATGACTTGTCTCAGACAAATGTTCAAAGACAAGGTGATGACATCATAAATTTCTGTACAAAATGAAGCGCACAGTGTCTTAGAAATGAGAGATCAGGGATCTACACTGAGTTTTGCCACTGACTACCTCTGTGACCTTGAATGGGGAAGGAGGGTGAAGAATCAACATTTGCTGAGCATCTACTTTTGGATACAGCACAGTGCTGGGCACTATTCATACATTATCTCAGACACCTGTGAAGTAGATTTTGTCTTTTTACAAATGAGGAACTAAGGCTCATGGAGATCAAATGACTTGCTCAAGGTCACACCACTAGTTAGAGGCAAGGTTGGGATTTGAACCTAAGGCTATCTGAATTCAAATGTTTTTTTCCATTATACCACCTTCACTACTTCTCCCTGGGCCTCAATTTATTTTTCTGTAGAATTAGAAGAATGGCTTAAATCAGTGGTTTTTACCCTTTTAGCTAGGGAACACTTTGTTCAAATGAAATATTAAGTGTGGGAACTTAATAACAGATGAAGTTGAAGCTATTATGGTTGAAGCTGGGGTGAAGGGCCAGGGACCTGGAACCTCCCCTTCACTTCTCAGCCCTGTGTGGTCTCTGGGAGGTTCTTCACATCCTTAGGACTCAGTCAGATGATCTTTAAAATCTTTCATTTATCAGCCAGCTCAATGACTCTGCTGTTGGAAAGAATTAGTTTTCACCCAAGCAGGAAGCTAAAAGAAAATCATCTTTTGGAGCTTCTCTGAAAACCTTCTGCTAGAGGAATGTTTATGGGGGGTTAGGATGCAGCTTTCCAAGCAATATACCCTGTGGAAGAGGATGAAATTATGCTTTTACTTTAGGGAGGGAGGGAAAGGTCTTCATGATCAACTTCCATAGAAGAATTAATAATTTACAGTGATAGCTTCTTACATCCCCATAATGATTTTCTCTTTTTAAAAAGCGTTTACATCTTTCTCATTAAGTAGTGGAATGAATCTCTGGAGTCAGTTGTTAAGGAAAGGCACACTCCAAAAGAGGGCAGAACAAGTCTTGCTGATGCAGCCTCGTCTGTTTACCTACGCAGTCGCAGATCCAAGATACCTTCCCACAGCCAGCGGCACAGTCATCTCTCCAGTTTTTGATAGGCATTTTAGATTAAAGAAGGAGACCTGGTGACACAGTGGTTAAAGAGCTTGGCTGCTAACCGAAAAGTTGGCAGTTTGAACCTAGCAGCCGCTCTGCAGGAGAAAGATGTGGCAGTCGGCTTCGTAAACATTTACAGCCTCGGACAACCTATGGGGCAGTTCTAGTCTGTCCTATAGGGTTGCTATGAGTCAGAATCCACTCAATGGCAGTGGGTTTGGTTTGGTTTGGTTTTGGTCAAATTTAAAGAAGACATTACCCTGTCTTCTCCACCCCCAAATCACAAAGATTGCAGAAACACTTGCTCACTCTTGATCTGAAGTGGCTGTACCTTGGTGACTGGATCAAATGTATAGCTGCCTTGTGTTGGTGTCAGATTCATATTTAGCACAACTTTTGGCATGTGAACTGTCACTGTGATTCCTTCAATAGTTTTTCCCATATTCTGCTTTGGTCCAATTGTAATATCAAATCGGCCACAGGAACTGTTCTCCTTAAAGCTGATGCTATGTTTCACATATACTGGAATTGCCACTAGACTAAAAAAAGAAAGAAAGACACAAAAGCACACACATACATAATTAATGGTGTGGGACAGCTCCAGAGGTGGCCTGAAAACCTGCGTCCAGAGTATCCTACCCTGTCTCTAACCCCAACTACAGGGCCCTACACCTCCAGAACTGCTGATTCAGCATCTGCACAAGGAGCTGAGTACAGCACAGTAGTATCACTGTGCTTGGAACTATGATTTCTGAGCAACAAGTACACAAGTCAAGATAGGAATCTGAAGCTTAATTACCGTATAAACAATTGGGACAAACAGTCCTAGTTTAAAGAAATGAATTAAGATCTCATAGAAAGGTAATGTAAAATTCTATAAATAAAGCAGTTCCTATGTGATAAGTGTCAGGAAATAATTCCTCTGCTTTTTTGTCCTGTCCTGATGTTACCCATATACATCCTGCTATTTTCAAGAGGACAAACAAGCTACACACCACAACACTAAATCACCCATTTAAAACTCAATGCAGAGAAGAGTGACTTGAAGCTGGTTAGCTAGGGGGTGTCCTGGGGAGCTGCATGTAGGTCTGTCTCCCACTGTCAGCCATGGTATAATTATGGCACAGCTTCATGGTTTTGCCTAGGTTTTGCATGATCCAAAATGCTTCTCTCAGCTATGGATTTTAATATGGTCCCATTTACAACTACTCTACACTCTTACGTTTAAGGGGCATGGATTGTTTTAGACATGTGCTTTCACCAGTTTTCCCTTGGTCTCCTGGCAAGCCATGGCTAATGGGAGCACAGGTGAACTCAAGTACCCAACCATCAGAATGAAACAGGGAAGGGAGACTTCTACCCAGCACACTGATAAAGGATGGCAGATTCTGGTTGCTGCATCAACATACTTTTGTGAGCTGACCCGGTATGATATGAGTCGGAAATTTCCATCTGGAGGAATAAACGACAAAACTCTTTCAGATTCCCAACGCTTGAACCGGATGCAAGGGTGGAAGCTGACGTCATCCAGAAGCCTTGGGTTCTGCCAAGAAACAGACAGTCATATTCATACAGCACAATATGGCAACTCCACTCAGACATTATGAAAAATTAGTATGTTCCCTAAAGATAAACTAGTCACATAAGAGTTTGTTATCATGACCACATCAACATAACCTTTTAGTTTATAACTATTTATAACTATTTATACTATAACTATTTATTTTACATGTATTATTTTATTTGAATTTCAATAACTCTAGAAGATAAAAAAAAAAAGCAAATACTATTATTTCCATTTCACAGATTAAAAAACTGAAGTTCAAAGAGCTTAAAGTCAAGACAAATTAGTGGCAGAGATAGCACCAAAACTCAGTTTTCTTGATTATTCTTAGCAGTGTGTCATGCCAAGTCTAAAAATGATGCAACAGACTAATGCCTTTTCATACCAGCAAAGCAAGAAGTTATTCCATAAAAATGACACTGCAGATTTGCAGAATTAAGTCAGCCAATTTAAGCCACTTATAGCACACTTAGGCAAAGAACTTTCTACAGCCTTTCCATAAAGGTCATGCTTATCATGTAAACTACTGTCCTGGGCAGCTGTAGCAGCAATATTTCTGAGATAATCCTTTGCAATCTGAGATGCAAACTTGTCTTAGTGTTTATCATTTCATTTAGTACTTCATATGTAGTACGCATGCAAGAGGTTACATAACAGGAGAGTAAAACTTACCATGAAAGAAAGGGAAAGATCAGGCATCCCAGACAGCTTAATACAAGCATCAATGACCCCCTGAATTTCTGCAAAGACTGTAGATCCTGAAGACAGAAAGAAAAAGGTGATAGCATCAATGGAATCTGGGTCTTTATTAGGGCTATCACTGTATCTGGAGTAATGGAGATACCTGCTGGGTGTCAGACTTACTGAAAGCTTTGCAACTCTATTAATGGGTCAGTGGACAGAGGATCCATTACACCAGTTAGACAGCTTCTTCACTGAGTGCCATGGCCTGTACCTAACTCTGGTTAAAATATGATAATTCTAAGGAAAATCAAACCTGTCTCCTTCACAGAGTGTAATGACTGCCTGCTGGATACTGAGCTTAAAATATAAATAGGAGTCATGATCTATTATTCTGTAAGATGGAACGTTAATAACGAAAAGGGCACTGAAGAAGAGATACTGACTATAATTCATAACAACTCTGCATCATACACAAAGTAGCTGTGTGACCTCAGTTTCCTTCTGTATAAAATACAAGGGTTGGACTAGATGAAATTTTATGATTCTAACAATACTTCCATTTTGTCTGGTTAAAAAAACTTTCTAGACTAGTACTGCACATAAAGTGGTAACAAAAGCATGGTATATGGTCCTTGTTGCTAGGTGCCGTCAAGTAGATTTTCGACTCAGAGATACAATGTGACAGTAGAACTGCCTCATAGGGTTTTCTAGGCTGTAATCTTCATGGGAGCAAATCATCAGGTCTTTTCTCCTGCGAAGCTGCTGGGTGGGCTGGAACTGCCAACCGACTGTGCCATCAGGACTCCTTTTGGTATATGGTAGATACTCAATAAATGTTAGAGTGAATAAACGGCAAGAGGGAGAGGTATACACGGTAATAACAGGCTTAAAATCAGGCAGCATGAGACCTCATTTTCAAATGTTTGGCAGATCTCAACTAGTGGTTATGAAAATATGTAACCTATGGGCAAAATAAACAGATTTTTAAATCACAGGAAAACAAATGCCTTTCCTCATAAGCCATACTGCCAAGGGATTTCAATTTTCTATTCAGCTTGTGTCAGCTGAATTGTTTTTCCCTAAATAAGATCACTTACACACAATTACCTGATTTATCTATAATTGCATCTATTTCTTCAACAACATCAAAATAGGCTTCATTGTTTGTGTACTTTACTCCTGCCCGGCGCCACGGGATGTTGGACAGCTGCCCAGTGGGGAGTGTGTCCCCAACATTACTACTGCCTAGAAACCAGAAAAGAAGCAGCACAGAACGGTCATTAGAAAAGCTACTGACAGAAAAAATGAATGTTAGCAGCTTCTTCGATACTTGGATTTTTCTTTATTGTACAGTTGTGGATGGTTTCCAGAATTGCCAGCAATATCCCATACCAATATGATCAAATTTCTACAAGACAGAAATAGGCCATGTGGTCCTCTGTCTACCTGCCAAACCAGGTTAAATTTATTTACTTACCTTTTGCTTCCTGTGTATTAACAGTAACCTAACCTAATTCCAACAGCTAAACAAAATCTCATCCTGCTGCTACTGATGAAAAAGAAGCTGGCTGTTTCAAAACTTTCTGCTGATAAAATGTCTCCACTGAGAATACAAAGTGATAAGTAGGCCGTTTGGTATAATTCTACATGAGATGCTGCCAAGCAGGCCTCAGTGGAGTAACAGGAAAAAACATACTCTGGCTTTTTCCCATTTTAAGGTCAGCACACCCATATAGACACAATATGGCTAATATCCTTGAAAATTCAGAAATAAGTCCAAAACACATATCCTTGAGCTGTGACATATTTAACATTTTCATTAATTTACATTTCAAAAGTATACGTTTAATAAATATGGAAAGTTCAGAAAAGTGGTAAAAAAAATCATCTATCTTCTTATCACCAAAACACAATCACCATAAACATTTTAGTTGTAATCACACTGTATATGCAACTTTGTAGTCTGCTTATGGTTCGTGTTCATGCCTTCTAGAATAAGCTTCAAAAAACAATGCTTTAATCATGTTATCTTCCTGCTCAAAACCTTGGATGTTTCCCCACTGCCTTTATGATAAAAACTAAATATTCAGCCTAGCATTCAAGGACTTCCTCAACTTTCCTTTTTCTCTCTCACTACTCAACCAAAAGGTCAGCAGTTCTAATCCACCAGCCGCTCCTTGGAAACCCTATAGGGCAGTTCTACTCTGTCCTGTAGGGTCGCTATGAGTCTGAAGCCACTCGACAGTACACACCACCACCACTCAACCTAAAAGCAGCCTTTGCTTCAGCTAAACTGGTTAATACATCTCATTTTTATGTGCTTTTTCTTATCTGTGAATAATGGTCTCACTCCTCCCTTTCTTACTAAATTCTACTGATTCTCAGGGCCCTGCCCTAGGGCCACTTACTCCATTTCCCTGCCTTAGGGCCACTCACTCCAGTTCCCTTGAACCACTGAACCATTCCCTTGGATTTTATAATATATTGCCTTATAGATGTGTATTATATTTTCTTCTTTCTCTATTTTAGTGACTTTTTTTCTGACTATAAAATACATATTCATTTGGAGAATTAGAAAGCGTAAAGCAAAAATAAAGAACAGGTATTTCCATAGCTGGAGACAATCACTGGAAACATTTTAGAGCTTTTTTCTCTATGTATAATTAAGAATAATTTGCTATGGTTTTGTGTTTTTTTAATTTAATATTATGTGTACTTTCCAATGTCACTACATTGGCTATAAAATATGGAACTGCTTCTTAAAATTTTGTACTGTTATTTACTTAAAAAAATTTTTTTTTTCTGCTCTCCCACGCAGATTGTTAAGTTTTAAGAGCACAGAAATCTCTATTTCTTTGAATTTCTCCTGACATTTAGCTTTGTACAGAGAATAAAGAGCTGCTGAATGTTATTTCTTATAGGCTTCTCTCTCTCTCTTTTAAACTTTTTATTTTTTAATTTTATTGTGCTTTAAGTGAAAGTTTACAGTGCAAATTAGTTTCTCATTCAAAAATTTATATGCAAATTGTTGTGTGACATTGGTTGCAATCCCTGCAATGTGTCAGCACTCTCCCCCTTTCCACCCTGGGTTCCGCATGTCCATTCATCCAGTTTTCCTGTCCCTTCCTGCCTTCTCAACTTTGGACAGGGGTTTCCCATTTGGTCTCTCATTTACTTGATTGAATTAAGCAGCAGTTTCCTCATGTGTGTTATTGTTTATTTTATAGGCCTGTCTAATCTTTGGCTGAAAGGTGGACTTCAAGAGCGACTTCAGCTCTGAGTTAGTAGGGTGTCTAGGAGCCATAATCTCGGGGGTTCCTCCAATCTGTCAGACCAGTAAGTCTGGTCTTTTTTCTGAGATTTTGAATTTCATTCTACATTTTTCTCCTGATCTGTCTGGGACCCTCTATTACTGTGATCTCTGTCAAAGTGGTCGGTGGTGGTAGCTGGGTGCCATCTAGTCCTGAGCTCAGGCTGGTGGAGGCTGTGGTTCGTATGGTCCATTGGTCCTTTGGACTAATATTTTCCTTGTGACTTTGGTTTTCTTCATTCTCCTTTGCTCCGGACGGGATGGGACCAATAGATATATCTGAGATGGCTGCTTGCAAGCTTTTAAGACCCCAGAGGCTACTCACAAAGGTATTATGTAGAACATTTTCTTTATGAACTATGTCATGCCAATTGACCTAGATGTCCCCTGAAATCATGGTCCCTAGCCCTCAGTCCCAGTAACTCGGTTCCTCAAGGTGTTTGGATGTGTCTAGGAAGCTTCTATGACTTTGCCTTGGTCAAGTTGTGCTGACTTCCCCTATACTGTGTGTTGTCTTTCCCCTCACCAACGTCAACACTTGTCTATTATCTAGCTAGTGTTTTTCCCTCCCCACCCATCCTCTCCCTACTAACCATCAAAGTTTGTCTTTTTCTGTGTGTAAACCTTTTCCTGAGTTTTTATAATAGTGGTCTCATACAGTATTTGTCCTTTTGTGATTGACTTATTTCACTCAGCATAACACCCTTCAGATTCATCCATGTTGTGTGATGGTTCTGGGTTCATCATTGTTCCATTGTATGTATGCCCCATAATTTGTTTATCCATTCATCTGTTGTTGAGCACTTAGGTTGTTTCCATTGTTTTGCTACTGTGAATAATGCTGCAATGAACATGGGTGTCCATATGTCTATTTGTGTGATGGCTCTTATTTCTCTAGGATTGCTGGATCTATGGTATGTCAATTTCTAGCTTTTTAAGGAGGCACCATATCGTTTTCCACAGTGGATGTTGCATTTTACATTCCCACCAGCAGTGCGTAAGAGTTCCAATCTCCCTACAACTTCTCCAACATTTGTTATTGTTTTTTTTGATTAGTGCCAGTAATGTCAGGGCGAGATGGTAGCTTATTGCAGTTCTGATTTGCATTTCTCTAAGAGCTATTAATTGTGAGCATTTCCTCATGTGTCTGTTAGCCACCTAAATGTCTTCTTTGGTGAAGTGTCTGTTCATATCCTTTGCCTATTTTTTAGTTGGATTACTTATCTTTTTGTTGTTGAAGTGTCTTATAGGCTTTTCTTGCCCCATTTTTAGGCTAATGCACTGGAGAGGGGTTTACAATGGTAGACGGTATAGCTGGAGCGGCATACAACATTTCATAGAAATCTTTCTCTAAAAAATGACCTCGTCTTTCTCCATGAAAAGAAGTACACATCCATTTTAATATTATCACTAACTTCAATTCCAGCCAAACTGGACTACCTGAATAAGATAATAAGCAGCAGTGAATTGTTTATAAATTTTTAACTGCTCAGTTCCTAATAGAATACTTTTCACCTTACCTGTAATAGAGTTGACGACAGAACGTAGAATTGTTGGTGGTTTAATCAGTTCTTTCAAAATGTTGGATTCAGTAGCCAGTGGAAACCCATTGTCTAACATTTCTTCCAAGAGCTCATACACTATGACCACATTATCCTTAATTGCAGCCTCCGAACACTCACCAAAGTAGTCCTAAGAAAACGGCCATAAAATTGCACAAGAGAAGGCATGAAGAAAGGCTTAGCAAATGCTTTCTGTTCTAAAGTATAACTTAGATTAGCATAATTCACTAAAATGTTGGAAATATGTAAAACAGAGAGAAAAAACCTCTATAGTCCTATACACCCACTCCTCACTTATCAACACGGCTAGGTTCCAAAGACCAGGTTATGTGAAAACTGGCTTTATGTGAAAATGGAGGATGACCACTTCATTACATAACTACCAGATTACATCATTACATAACGCCAAATACATCACTGCATAACTGCCAAACCACTGAGAATCATGGCCTAGCCAAGCTGACACATAACCTTAACCATCACAGCCAGCGTTACTGTTACTCTTGCCTCACACCTTGGCATTTGTTACTGCCAGACGTATGTTGTTAATGCGCAAAAGAGTCGGACAGTAATTCTTTTACTATTGTAAATGTGGTATGTCGGATAATGAGATAGTCAATAATGAGGAGTAGGTGTATATTATTCCTCAATATTTTCTTAATATTTTTAGACAAATTAAGAATTGAATTTTCATTAAATTTTGTGCCAGAAAGTACAATGAGATATTAGACAGGAATGTGTGACCCATAAACTTCATTTGCCTTGATTAGCTGCCTCAAAACACACATAAATGAGTTTTAAATTTTTTGGTATATTTAGGAAGACAAAAGGGAAAGTAACAAAATATAAATATTAGAAGAGTTTGTGACCCATAAAAACCATCTTGGGACCACGAAGAAAGCTGTGTGTGGAGGATACTACTGTTTCCTGACGACAGTAATTTACACCCACACCCACGGTTTCCATGACCAGGAAACTGCTCTGTTATTCTAAAATAGTGAATATACTGCCTTATAAATCTATGAGTGCCACTGTATACCCTACAGAAAAAGGCTTATGAATCTGTTTATTTAAAAAGAAGAAAAAGAGAGACAACATATCTAAAGCTGGTAAACTGAAGAATATAATCACGTTGCCATATAATGCACTTTCTCCACCCCCCAACTAATCTGGGTAATTTAAGTTCAAAAGGTTTGATGAATAACTGACCTGAAAGGTGTCAGCAACTCTATGTAGGAACTCAATTACAAACAGAGGTGGCACTTCAGTCTGTATGACAGACACAAAGAAGAGCTTATCCCGGTAGATACTGATGAGGTAGTGGTGAGGTGTTGAAATGACAGGTGGTACATTTTCAACATCAGCAGCTTTCTCCTGAGCTTCAAAGAAATAATCACAGACAGACTGGCTTACAACGCTCTTCCAGTGCTTCTCTAGAAATATGTCACCGGAACAGTTTATGAGAAATAGACTGTGGATCATTTTCTGTGAGAAAAAAAGTTTATATTTATTACACATCAAAAAGTATTCTTGTATTACCCTAAAACCAAAATCAGACAAAGACTTCATAAGAAAACTACAGACCAGTATCCCTTGTGAATATGGATACAAAAACTCAGCAAAACACTAGTAAATAGAATCCAGCAACATATAAAAAGGATTATACACCACGTCCAAGTGGGTTTATCCCAGTAACGCAAGGTTGGTTCAACATATGCAAGTCAATCAATGTAATACACAGAGTTAATATAACAAAGGACAAAAAACAAATGATTATCTCAGTAGGAACAGAAAAAGCTTTCGACAAAACGCAACAGCCTTTCTTTATATATATATATAAAAAAAAAACGCAACAAACTTAGAAAGGGATTTTCTCAACCTGATACAGGGCATCTATGAAAATCCCACAGCTAACATCATACTCAATGGTGAAAGACTGAATGCTTTCCCCGCAAGATCAGGAACAAGATAAGGATGTCTGTTCTTGCCACTTCTAATCAATATTGTACAGAAGGTTCTAGCCAGGGCAATTAGGCAAGTCAGCGAAATAAGGATTCCAGATTATAAAGGAAAAAATAAAAATATCTCTATTTACACGACATGATCTTATGTATAGCAAATCTTAAGAAATCCACTAAAAATATTACTAGCACTAGTAAATGAGTTGAGGAAGGTTGCAGGATACAAGATTAATATACAAAAATCAATTGTATTTCTATTCACTAGCAATAAACAATCTGAAAATGAAATTAAGAAAATAATTCCATTTATAATAGCATCTAAAATAATAAAGTAACAAGGAATAAATTTAACAAAAGAAATGCAAGATTTGCACACTGAACATTAAAAATATCATTGAAAGAAATTAAAAAAGATCTAAATAAGCAGAAAGACATTCCATGTTCGTGGACTGGGAGATTTAATATTGTTAAGATGGCAATACACCCCAAACTCATCTTCAAATTCAAGGCAACCTTATCAAAACTCCTGTTGCCTTTTTTGTGATAACTGACAGGTTGATCCTAAAATTCATATGGAAATGAAAATGACCCAGAATAGCCAAAACAATCTTGAAAAAAAAAGAAGAAAGTTGGAGGAGTCACATGCTCCAATTTTAAAGCTACTAGAAAGCAACAGTAATCAAGACTGTGTGGTACTGGCATAAGGACAGACATATAAATCAACGAAATAAAATTGAGAATTCAGAAATAAACCCATATATCTATGGCCCAATTGACTTTTCACAAGGATACCAAGATCACTCAACTTTTTATTCTGAAACAATTTTATATCTACAGAAGAGTTGCAAAGATAGTCCAGAGCTCCCATGTACATTTCACTCAGCTTCCCCCAATGTCAACACTTTACATAACTGTGGTACATTTATCAAAACTAGAAAATTAATATTGGTCTAATACTAATAACTATAGATTTTACTTGGATTTCCCTAGCGTCAAGTAAAATTTTGAGTAACATTGTTCAAAGTTTTCATTTTGAATTTCCATTAACTTGTCTGAGACTACAATAATGGCCTTGGGAGATATTTGAAATATTTTCCCCTAAATGGCCTCAATTGTTTGTTTTCAAATTTTATTGTGGTAAAACATATATAACAAAAAGTTTGCAATTTAACCATTTTAAGTGTGCAATTTAGTGACACTAATTAGATTCACCATGTTGTGCAACCATCACCACTACCCATCTCCAAGTCTCCCATTATCCCAAACAGAAACTCAGCACCCTTGAAACATGTTCCCATTCTCCCCTCCCCAGTCCCTGACAATCACCAATATACTCGTCTTTATGCATTTGCCTATATTCTAGATATTTCATAAAGTGGGATCATACAATATTTGTCCTTTTGTGTCTGATGTATTTCACTCAGCATAATGTTTTCAAGGTTTGTCCATGTTGTAGCATGTATCAGAATGTCTTTTCTTTTTATGGATGAATCATATTTCATTGTATGTATATACAACATTTTAGTTTACCCATTCATTTGCTGATAGACACTTGGGTTGTTTCCACTAGCTTTGTAGTAAGTTTTGAAATTGTGAAGTGTGAGTCCTCCTACTTTGTTCTTTTTCAAGGTTGTTCTGGCTACTTGGGACCCCTCGCAATTACGTATGAATTTGAAGATTGGCCTTTCCATTTCTACATAAAAGGCTGTTGCAATTTTGATAGGAACTGCATTCAATCTGCAGATTTCTTTGAACAGTACTGATATCTTAACAATACTAAGCATTCAATCCATGAACACAGGGTGTTTGTCCATTTACTTAGGTCTTCTTTGATTTCTTTCGGCCACGTTTTATAGTTTTCAGTGTATAAGTCTTTGCCCTCCCTGGTTAAATTTATTCCTAGGTTATTTTACTATTTTAGATACTATTGTAGTTAGAAATCATTTTCTTAATTTTAAGATTGTTCATTGCTGGTATATAGAAACAATTGATTTCTGTGTGTTGACCTTGTACCCTGGAACTTTGATGAATTCATTAGCTCTAGTAGCTTTCTTGTGGAATCTATGGAATTTTTCTATATATAGGATCATGTCATGTACAGATAGTTTTAATTCTTCCTTTCCAACTTGGATGCCTTTTATTTCTTTTTCTTGCCTAACTGATGACTAGAACTTCCAGTATAATATACAGCAGCAGTGGTGAAAGCAGGAATCCTTGTCTTGTTTGTTCCTGATCTTACGGGGAAAGCTTTCAGTCTTTCACAACTGAGTATGATGTTAGCTGTGGATTTTTCATAGATGGCTTTTATCATACTGACAAATTTTCCTTCTATTCCTAGTTTGCTGAGTGTTAAAAAAAAATTAATAACTTGTGAAACACATAAGAATATTTGTAACAGCCAAAATTTGCAACAACTCAAATGTTTAATAGTACAATGAAAAAAATAAACTGTAGCACATATATAAAATACTACAGAGCAATGAAAATGAAAAAACTACCATTAAATACAACATAGATGAATCTTACAAACATAATGCTGAAGAAACAAATGCAGATACAAAAAAATGCATACTGTATGATTCCATTTATAAGAAGCTCTAGGGCAGGCAAAACTAATCTATGGCGTAAGAAATAGTTTCCTTTGTAGAGGATGGTGAGGGTAGTGACTGAGGAGAGCATGGTGGGGGGGGGGGTGCTGATAATCTTTTGTTTTGATCTTGGTGATGGTTACATGCTGCATTCATTTTGTGATAATTCACTGGGCGTAACATTATCATTTGTACACTTTCTGAGTGTCAATTAAAAACTTTATTTAAAATTTTATTTTCCTCACAATACAGGGAACACTAGAAAAATGTCTAATTATCTTAACTTGTCCCTTTCTTTTGTATGGATATTATCAGTAGCAGGTGCTTAGTCTAGTGGTCTAATCATTCAACATAACAGTTTAATAGTATGAATTTAAAATCTGTAAATACAGTTTCTGTGCATGAAGATAAATGTCAATGAAGGAGCAAAGGAAAACTTTCTAGAATTGAGTCATTCAATTATGTTGACACAGAAAACAATGACATCAACCTGACCAGCTCTTTTTAGAGGAAATGCAGTCATTTATTTTATGAAAACAGCTGACATTTAAAAAATATACCCTTCCCAGTTGGCACATGTTCATCAGCTATCAGGCAAATAATACTAAGACATTTGTATTAGTAATCATCATATTTTAGAGTATAAACGCTGTTAATAGTGTACGGTTCCCGTTTGTTAGGGGGAAAAAAAATGTTTCTTGTTTTCAAAGCCACCTCTATTGAGCCAAGCAATCAACCTGAGTTAGCACCAATAAATTCTGACACCTTAGGCTTGGGACCTGCTAAAATTTTCCAGATTAACATCTGGAACCTGCTAAATTTTTCTACTTTATGCAGTCATATGTTTTCTGTCAGCCTTATATTTCTTTTTGGGTATCAAAATAGTTATCACTGGAATATATAGGTTTGATATACAGGACCTCATGACTTTAAGTATAACCTGAGCTGTTATATAAAGTGTGGCTTTATGAGTAGAGGTACTGTAATCAACTCAGTGAAACTCACTTTGTGAGTACTACAGGTGAGCCTGCTGTGGCCTATGGCATCCTTTGTGAAAAATTAATCATTTAGCTTCATTCAGAGTGTTTTATTCACTGAAGACAAATGAACTAATAATATATAAAATCCATCAAGTACTTACTGTGGGCCAGCCATTATATTTTACCTACATTATCTCATTTATTCATCACAATGACTCTATGCTACAAATACTGTTCTCATCCCCATTTTACAATTAAGACAATTAAATCTTAGAAAAGTTAAGTCAATTACCTAAGATCAACAGTAAGTGTCAGATGCAGGATTCAAAACCTGATCCATTTGAATCCCGAGTTCCTGCTCTTACCTGCCTCTTAGTGACTAATTATTAGGAACCCGCTCTTACACAGCACCGTTGAATAGGATTTTTTGCAATGATGGAAAGGTCCTATATTTGTACTGTCCAATACCATAGCCACAACCTGCATATGGCTATTAATATTAAGCACATGAAATACACAGTGCAACTAAGGAACTGAATTTTTAATTCTAATTAATTTAAATAACCACATATGGCTACTGGTTCCTGTATTGAACAGTGTAGCAAATGGACTGTTTGAACTTAAGATTTAAGAGGAAGAGTTGAAGGATATGCCTTCATGTGTTCTAGTTTTTATGCTGAGAAAGTTTAATAAATTGTTTAGAGTAAAAATTATATCTAAAAGAGCTGACAGAGGATATTTTCTTAAAACATTGATCCTAAAGTAAGTATAGTTCACATGGATCTGTGGTATTCCACTGTCACAATGTTGTTGTTGTTAGCTGCTGTCAGTTTTGACATATAGGGACCCCCATATGACACAGTAGAACTACCCCATAGGGTTTTCCTGGCTGTGATCTTTACGGAAGCATATTGCCAAGTCTCTCTCTCACACAGCCACTGGATAGGTTTGAACCGCCAGCCTTTTCACTAGCAGCTGATCGCTTAACCATCTGCACCATTGGGGCTACACAATACACCCTGAAAAAAATGTGCTTGTTCTTGAAGCAAGTCCTTTTTGTAGTCTCTTTATTTTAGGTCCAGAGCTCTGTTCATTCTCTTAAGCTGGTGAAAAAATTCTTTCCAGGAAAAGTTCCCACCGAAGTTGTTTTTACTGGTAGTAGTTGAGGACTCATAAGAAAACAGTAAGTTAAATCAGCAGTCTGGATTTACTGTTGTTATCCTTAGTGCTGAGATCAAAGCATAATACCTGTAGCTCTCAACGGTACTTAGCTTTAAAATCCATCTTAATCTTCTATAATAGAAAAAGAGAGCTTTTTTTTTTCTATCCGTATTATGACCTGGGCCTAACACAAGACAATGAAATAATTAAACACCACCTGCAGCAGTGTAAATTAAGCCTGTTTCTTTAGCTACTTACCTTTTAGTAGCTGCACTTACTTCTTTATTTTAATCAACTTTCTGGGAAAGCTCTATACTCACCACCATCACAACCATCTTTTTTATTTTAGTGACTTATGAGTCATAAAACAATTCCCTTATTATTTTAAAGCCACTAAAGAACCTGCGTTCAGACTCAGTCCAACAGCTTAAATACTTGTATATCCTATTTACCAAATGTTGAACAAACTCATTCTGCTGATTCACAAACAATGCAATTATAACAGTCAAAATATCCTGAGAAGACACTATCTAAAAAAGAAAATGTATTCCTTCTATGTATAACAGGTGAGAGAATGAGATCAGAAAAGATTCTTACCCAATAACTTAACCATTTCTTCATTCAACAAATAGTTTTGAGTCCTTTTTATACACTAGGCATTGGGGATATAAGGATGAACAAAACAGAGTCCCTGCATTCACAGCATTTAGGGTTCAGCAAAGACGACAATTACAGTAAGATGTGACTCCTATTACGACAGGGGAAATACAGTGTGCTATAGGAATCCACAAGGCTTGGAGGTGAGAGAGAACACAAGACAGACAAATTCAGTACAAAAGAGCAAGTTGGATGGTGGAGGGAAGTGGTGAGATGAAAAGATGAAACTGGAGAGGGAAGTAAGCAGAGATTGGTTCATGGAATGCACTGCTAGCCATGCTAAAGATTTTGGACTTTATCCTCAGTGCAACGTAAAGTCATTTTGCATGGTTTATGCAGGGAACTGCCCCATAGGTTTTCCAGGCTGTAATCTTTCCAGAAGCAGGCTGCCGTATCTTTCTGCCCCAGAGCAGCTGGTGGGCTCAAACTGCCAACCTATAGATTAGCAGCCGGGAGCTTGACCATTGCACCACCAGGGAGAAAGATGTGGCAGTCTGCTTCTATAAAGATTTACAGCCTTGGAAACCCTATTAGGCAGTTCTCCTCTGTCCTATAGGGTTGCTGAGTTGACTCGATGGCAATGGGTTTCAGGTTTGGGTATGCAGGGAAATGCTGTGATAAGATTTATATTTGTAGAAAGATTACACTGCTTGCACTATGGAAATTGGGTAACAGGGAAAACTAGATATTGTAACACCAGCTGAATGATGATGGTGGCCTGGACCAGGGTGCTGACAATAGGGATGGAGAAAAATGAAAAGATTAGAGAAACATTTAGGCTTGAGCAAAGATTAGGTAGAGGTGAAGCAG